AATTTTCACACTGGTTAACGAGTTATTAATTATTAAAACTCGCTGTCTTAGCTCCGCCTACCGCCCAATTCAAGCGCGCGGCGAGACATGGCCGTCCCGCGATCGGCGTTGCTAGGCGCGCGGTAGGCGGAGCTAAGACAGCGAGTTTTAATAATTAATAACTCGTTAACTATTGCGAAAATTGTAAAATGGTAGAGGACTTTTCAACTCAGTCTAGTCCGCCCTATCCGCAAATAAGAGGTGAAACGGGTATTACACAACACCCTGTATATTTTATTTGCTTATACTTAATTGTCTATTAATGACAATAACCATAAGAACGTATACAGAGGATTCAGTTCTTTGCTGACTTTGTGCGAATCGATTGCGACAACAGCAGAACGCGGATCGCAGACGGTGACACGCGAGACGCGGACCTACCCGGTGGCGGTGTCTAAAGGGCGTCGCGAGCCGATATATATCGTCGCGGACGAGAGCGGACTCGTATACTCCGAGCTAGAGCACGAAAAAGGGAAAATCCAAACTGGTCGCTTAATCTGTCGTTCGTGACAGGACTCCGGCAATCTGCCGCGGCCGAGAAATCGCCGGCGCTCGAGGAAATCGAACGGCCGGACAATTTTTACCACGCTGCTCTCTCAGAGTGTTATCTCCTTCGCCGGACTACCACTTTCGTTCCGCACGCCGTCGTCAAAGACTCCGAGCGTGCTCCTCGATTTTCCTTAAGTGCGCACTTAATCGCTGGCCATCTGTTCACGTTTTAATCTTTTGGCGATTGTAACGGCAGTATCTTTTTTTTTTATTTATATATATATATATATTCGCTTAATCTCTCTAGCATTTTATGTTATCTTTATGCGTGTTATTTTATCTCGTCAAATCGCTTCGCTGATTTAGCAGACGCTCGAGTGCATAATCGTTAGATATCCAAATGAACACGATTCGTTGTGGTGCGCAGTGGTTAAACATTCGAAGGACAATTTTTATGCACTGTACGTGCATCGTCGACTCTTTAAAGCGTTCCATCCTCTTCCGCCGTCCGATCGTGTACCGCTCGCCGGAAATCGTTGTTGCCCGCTTAAGTGTCTTTTCGAATTCCCCGTCGTCGCCGGAAGCTTAGAAGATTGCCGGCTGAGATGGTAAAAAAATCAAAGTTCAATGCGACGACTTCGCCACGTGGAAAGTAGTCCAGACTATTTCAGTCGGGAATGACGCTTTTGTGCCGACTGTGTCCTCAATCGTTTGCCGTCGCTTCGACTTTTCGGGCGAGTCCTCATTGCCGAGCGATGAATAGACCCGTCCCCTGAATCATGCGCCATTTCTTTACGATCGTGGAGAGGGAGAGGAGCAAGGTGAGAAACCTCGTTGAACAATTTCGCGATGTCGGTCGTGCGTATAATACGCGGACCGTTGAGGCCCCCGAAAAACAATGGCATTTGCATCAGAAATAAACGCGTCGTCCGACTTGGATCTCGGTCGCCTTCCGGCGTGCGATTTTCTTAATAAGCGAGCGAGATTTTGCACTTTAGTGCACCGGGGCTGGCTGAACGACGAAGCCGAACGGGAGGAAGAGGCCGAGCCAGGTCGCTCGCATTCATATGCGACGCGTCACAACGAATAGCTTGTCTTTTGGCGATCCCGCCTGCGGCTCTGTTTCACGCTCGGCCTTCAAACGACCTGGCTCGCCTTTATTTGAACGCGTTCAGGACGACGAATGTGGAATTTGGACGGCACCCGAGAAACCGAGGCATGAAACAGGGACGCACATTATGGTGCAATTAGCCGCGGTTACTCTCGTTGCTTGAAAGAAGCAGCAGCTTTCTACGCTGACATTTGCATTTACCTCACTTATCGTATATTGATTGTGGAGTTCCTTCATATTTATTTCGCGCATGGCTCGGCGAGATGATGTTTTATTCCTACGATCGCAAGAGATATTGACATCACCGCGCGATAATCGACCCGCTCCTGAATACGCGCGTGTTCGAGATAACACAATATATTTTCAATCTTTCGTAAGTTCGCAGAACATGCGCGCGTATGCTCCTCGCGGTACCAAAAATGGAAGAGAGTCGTTGGGAAAGATCCGGAGCGTCGAGCAAAAGGGGCCACAGTCGTCGTCGTCATCATCGTCGTCGTCGTCGTCGTCGTCGTCGTCATCGTGTGCGAAGAGAGCGGGAGGGAGCAGGAGAGATCGCCCTCTTCTCGATGTTACGCAGAGAATTCGAGGCAGTCGTTAGTATGCTAATGAGTGTCCCTCGTTTCTTCGTCCGTGACCGCGGTGTGCAACCGCTGAATTATTTCAAATATTTCCAAACGTTTCTCGTCGCGCGCGAGGAGACTGGATCGACTTGGTGTTAGAGATCGTAGAGCTCGGTGCGCACCTGTGGCGCTCGGTGCGTGTTAATGTACACGCGTGTAATTCCCGCCGCTATTCCTTCTCATCCTTGTTGTGTCCTGTCAGGACCACGAGTGGCGCCGTTATATTTCTCGCGATAGCATCGAAACTGTGAGAGCGTCCACGTAGCGTCCCTTCCCGCTGGTATATAGTCGTACAACCAAAATGACGTACGCGATACGATGGCGATATTAATTTCCCGGGCGATATCGCATTTCGTGCGATCGTACCGGATCATTCGCGATCATTAATTAAACACGGGAGGCACAGGACAATTAATTTCACTTACACACGAGTGCTAATAATCGTATCACGAATCAATGACCCACGGTCGTGAATATGTAACGGAGAGAAGACCGGATTGTACACGCTGCTTTTATCCGAGGGTTCGTGATTAATTGTGCGCAATAAAATTTCTGAAATCTCCGCGATAAAAAATCGAGGGTAATTTCGATGCCGTTACTTAAAAAGAAAACGCTGCGAGAAAATGGGCCGCGATAGATTTTTGACACATTCGATTAAGATACGCGACCGCCTTTTTTATTCCGGAATATATCGTTCCGCGCGGCGATATATTCTCCTTTCGTAAGTCCCCCGGGTTATTTTAGTTCACGAGAGAAGAGTCTAATTGACCCGAAAGGCGTTATCTGCTACTTCGTCTCCAGGAAACCGAACGCGCGAGCCGTAAGGGTAACCATTACCTGTTGTTGCCTTAATGAGGTCCAATTACTATCGGATGGGTCACTTAGTATGCGGTACCGATATTCTACGGTGTATAGCACACATTAGTGGGACAAAAGGACAAGAGCCAAGGGTCAACACCCTTCGAAGATCTAAGCGCGGCCTAACGAGACTCGATCGTCGTCGTTGTCGTCGTCGTCGTTTGTCGGTACGATATGCGTGTTCGCGCGCATTCCGGCGCACGTGCGCAACCCGGAATCCACCTGTTGAATATTACTCCCTACTGCGTCGACCCTCGCGTCCGGCACACGGAAGCGAACCGCAATCGAGACAAGATCCTTCCTTTCGTAGCTTTCCGCGCCTGCGCGTATCCCACTCTCTAAAAATGAATTGTCACTGAAAACAGTGAATAGTCACTGATTCACAGCCGTAAGTATACTACTGCGACTTTCAGTTATTCTCTTATAACTGCAAATCAATCCACTGATTGACTCCTAGAGAGCGTACTTGTCCCGAACGGAACAGACGTATTTGCCCAAAGAGGCAATTTATTTCGCAAAATCCTTCAAGCAACTCGTCGTTTCAGAATAACAGGACGGAGTAAAGCGCTAAGGAGCAACCGAATCGTCTCTTGCCGTACAATTATCGTGGTGGAAGTAACAGCGCACCGCGGCGCATCTCGAGATATGTTATCTACCCATACGTCATTATTTCCCGGACGCTCATCGCGATTCGCCGCAACGCAAAGCTTCGTCGAACGGGGACGATCCAAGATAATCGATTAGTCGCGCTCGAGTCTCTCGTCCACTTACGGATTCGAACCGGGCAGAAGATTTTTTTTTCCCCGGCCGCTTCTCGCACGCTCGCCTTTTCCACATATCGGACTTTCTCACCTCTTTTCGTTGGCCGTGATTACCACGGGAATCCCTACCATCGCAATCTTTTCGTTTTCGCATCCGTCACGGCTTATTAAGTTGCCTCTTCTTTAAACTAGAGTGCGAAACGCGTGCACGCATCGCATACGTCAACTCATCGCCAGCGTATCGACTTTTACGACTTCGCGAAGTCCTCGCAGCAGGTTAATACCGCGTAGAAACTACTTCCGTCCGCTTTTTGCCGACGATTGTCTTTCCGAAGACAAATCGGTAATAAATCACTGTCGCACTTTGTTATATTTCTTCTCGAATTGGCGCGTCTTAGAAATCTATATTTGTCCCTTGCTGAATTGTGTGTTAATAATGGAAATTAAGCACCGCCGAGAAAAGCGAAAAGATAATGCGTTGATTTGTTTGTCTTTAATTTACAGCCCGAAACATTCCAATTTCATATAGTGCGTCATGTACGCGCGTGATAATAGTTTTCTTAGGTTACAGAATTATTGTTATCATCTTTTCGTTTTTTCACCTGGCCAAACTTTGTATTGCATTTATTTATCTGCTTTCGATTATTATGACGAACAGATAATTGTTTCGTGAATAACTGATTTCCAGAGTACATGTTAAAAAGTAGAAAAGTCTCGTAAAACATTTTTCAGAAGCTCATATCAATACTCATATAAATATTGCATGTTTCTTTCATTCTCTCATGTAACCTTGTACCGATTTTCTCTCAGCCGGGCATTGCAAAGTTCGGGTTATAATTTCGCGAAATACGTAGATAGAATTACTTGTTACTTGAAAATGCGACGGAACCGCCACGCTCGACTTCGCAATTACGCTTGCGTTACTCCTCAAAGTGTGTAGAATTTGCATCACAAATGTTATGTAACGTGCGACTCGACAATGAACGGAGCGTGTGACGAGACGTCGCCGTGCGAATTCTCGGCGTCACGTCACAAAGTCCGCGTACGCGAAATGTTAACCCGGATTTACCCGCGGCAGTCTCATTACTCGTGAGGCTTCGTTCAACATCGAATCCCTCTTACCTTGCAACCCTCGCACGTGAACGCCCCGAAATGAAACCCCGCTGCGGGTTCGTCGCATACCCTGCACTGTTGGTTCATCTGCAATTATAGAAATTATACAAGTTATTCGAAGGTGAAATACGTCAGCGTCAGTTACTTCGGCTCATCCTTGGAAGAATGAAGTGCGGTGTTACTGGGTGGTGGGGCGGCGAACCGGTTTTCTACGTTTGCTTCGATTTTTATTCCTCCCACGATATCTTACGGATGTTCGAACAGGATTTGGAGTACGAGAAAAGTAATTGGAAATATGTTGCAACTTGGATTAAACTGGATAATATGATAATATCATAGAGAAATTGTAATATATCGCTATTCACATCCGTCGATCTTGATTTCTTTTTCTTTAGTTGGTGAGGTCACCTAAGTATTTTCAGATTACGCTACACAAGGCGCGACGTAAATGCGCAACGTTCGTACGAGAGTATCCTGTGAATGTTTTTGATCGGTAGAGATTCGTTATTTTTTCGAGTCGATTATATCTTCGCCCATGGGCATGAAATGGATATCTGAGGAATCATTAGGCCCCCTTCTTTCCTGAATCTACGTTTCCCCACCCTCTCGTAACACTCGAATCGAAACCCGTTTTAACCCACTGGCATGTCATAAATCAGCGCTATCTCAGCAAACGGTGCCATCTGCCTCGGCTCTATGTCGGAGAGGGGAACCTATTTTTCGAGTAAACTGGAATAAAATTAGACCATCGATGGCCTGATAAATATGTTACGGTCGGCGTGCCTCGTCGTGCGTATTTCGATCGGTGCGATATAAACATTCCCGATTCTATATAAATTGACGGAAACCGGAGGAACCAGCTCTCAAAGTTTACAAATCGTATCATTACAAAGTTGTATTCCGTTACATATGATTTCGTTGTTTATGGCGCGATTATAACACAACGATCGAGTTTACTGATGTATCCTCTTTCTTCAAGATGAGAAACGCAAGTTTTCGGTTAGCAAAACGTACACCCACAGAAAAAAATTTCCGGATCCAATGCTATTACGCTTCAATGTATCATAAAATAGGATCGATATAGCGCCAATCATATTTATTATAGAGAAAGGAATATTTTAATCTTAAATGAAAAATTCTAAAATCTGGAATAAAATGATAATATGTATTGTCTTTCGAATATCGTGGTGCCAAGATGGAGGGAAAATTTATTCTAAACGCAAGAATATACAAACTTACTATTGTCTCAATATAATAAGTCAATCTTTTTTTAATTCGATAGAGGAGAATAAGAATTATTGATTTTATTTTGATATTGTCTGATTTTTATACTGAATCAGGTTGTGAAAAATATAAATGCGTCAGGAATATTTTTGTCTCGGTATCACGTTTCCTCAATCGTATCTCTCGCAAATGATGCTATATTGTGACAAGCAGCGCACGTGGAATGATATGTTAAAAATGTGCGCCAAAAAAAAAAATTAACTGCGTACGCCTGTCGCGAACACTCGCGATCTGTGTCGGGACGAGGAGACCACCTGCGGATTCGTTGATGTAAAAATATAACCGCGGCCGGTAGTTGTACGGGTTGACGTACCCAGCCAAGAGAGATGAAGTTCCCCGAAGGGATGCTCCTTTTTTTTTATGCATGATGAGAAGAAGAGCACTTTAACGAGAATTTAGAGTGACGGTAATTAGAGCCCCGATACGACGCGATCTCGCGCGCGCCGCGTCTAATAGTCGAGGCTTTGTAATTGCGCCTCCGAAGAAAATGGGCCGCCGCTCGTATTTGTCGACGAAGACGGACGATAAAACGAGGAGAAAACAAACTAGAGAGAAAGAGTCGGTCCGCAGGTTCGTTAAGGTTTCAACTTTTTTCGCGGCGCGGTGTTGCTTAACACCCGCTAACCCTCCTCCTCGCTGCACATTCGTTGATGAAGCGAAAAATTTTTCTCCTCTCTCTCCTATACGCAGTCTACTTGATGAAATTCCCGTTTTCCTTTCGAATTTCACGATTTTCTCTTTTTCTTCCTCTCCCTCTTAAATTAGGCTTGAAGCCTGTTTTTTTTTCCGATTAATTCGTCTCTTGTGATCCGAATGTTCAACTGTCCATCCCTCTCTTTGGGGGTCTTCCTGGGGGTCTTCTGGATGTTGGTTTCCCATCTCTTGCTGTTCTTGCTATTCTCTCTTCCGCCATTCTGGATACGTAATCGTTCCATTCACGTCTTCTCTGTCTTACCCACCTAACGATGTCTCGCACATCGCAGGTTTTCCTGATCATCTCGTTGTACTCTGTCTCTGAGTGTCTTTCCCAGGATGATTCGGAGAATTCGCATCTCTGTCGTGCGGGCCATGTTCTTGGTTTTCTTGGTCTCCGCTCTTGCCTCTGCTGCATGCGTTCACGATTTTCATTCATAACAAATCATTAGGACGACCAATTAATCAGCTAGCGGTTTCAATGGCCGCGCATCTATGCCAATTTCAATTTTTTTCAAGCAGGGGTTTCAAAAGAACACGCGTCTTGTCCCGTGTTGTTTGAGAATATCACATAGATTTAGATCATAAAAGAAACTTGTAACTGTGTAAATAATGATTGTCATATGCAAAATGAGGAAACGTGAAAATGTACTGTTACTGTTAACTACTGGATTTGGATATCAATGCGCTCTCGCGTGTATGTATACTTGCTTTCGTCTAAAATTTATTCGATACATTTTCTATAATAATTTTCCTAACGTAAGACGATAAAAGCACAGACGTAATTTTGTAATATATCCTTACAACATTCGTGTTCGAAACACTCAGCGTCAGCACGGATCTCGGCCGACTATTTTCTGACATTTCTAACGCGCTTGAATTGGACTCGGTCGCTCTAAGTGGGTTTAAAAGTTCGTGCAACGAAACCTAATACAAAACCAAATAAAGCAGAGTATACGTATAACGGAGCCACCGGATCGTGTGCGTGCTCTCGGACCAGCAGATGCAGGAACGGCGCGGAATGCACATCGCGAATACGAAGAAAACAATAAGCGCGAAAGGTCGAGGCGCGAGAGGTAAAGGCCGAGATGCGAGCGTCGGAGGTGGAGCAATCGCAAGCGTAGCCGTAAAAAGTTCCATCGCGCCCTAATAACCATGGGGGGAAGCAGAAAGCCTTCGGGGGAGCGGTGTGCGCGCCGTGATTTGCAATAAATCACAGAGATCGCACGAGTCAGGCCTTCACGGTGGACGGTGCGTCGCGCCGTAACCGGTAAACCATACCATTTACGCGGCTGATCCTATTGATTTTACAAAAGACCACGCTACAGCTGTTATCGGTAGCCCATGGAGGTCAATGTGGGCCAAGGTTAATCCGTATCGTCGCGCCGGATCGATCTCGTTGTACGCGGAGTTGCGGTCGACTTCGAAATAGCTGCTCGTCTTACAAATTCGCGCGATATCGAAGAACGGTTTGATTAACGCGCGCACCGACGATTCACATATTTTCTCCAAAAAGACGAGAGAGAAAAAAAAGCGTGACTTCTTTCAGTCTGGCGCGATGTCGTTGACTTGGTCGGATCGTAACCCGTGGTGCAATGCACGCGGAACAGGTGAAACGGGAGAAGAGTCAAGAAGAAAAGGGGGTCACGGGGGAGTCGATAGTGCAAACACGCGGTACCTCGTACCCCAGTTTCTGTGGATAGAGTCAATATTTGCCCGGCATAGGTGCGTTAATGAAGTCGATCGACTTGCCGTACCTGCTCCAAATATCAACTTACGGGCCTCGACGATAACGACAAAGACGACGGCGAGACCGGGAGGGTCACGCGTGATCCTTCTTGCCTCCCGTGTACGTGCTCACACGCGTCCGCGCGTATACCTGCGGATGGGGGGGCACGTCGTAGTTTACGCGCCATTAAACACGAGTCCCGTGTGACGTTTATCCCTTCATGAGGCGCTTTTTGACCTGAGATTCGGGAGCGCTCCCTTTGTCGTTCTTACCCCTCGCTCACCGCCGTTGCAACCCTTCCTGCGTGCCGACTTTGCACGCCGCTTGATCATCATCTTTGTAATCATTTGGGTAATCAGTGACGGAATTCCTTGTCCTTTGTACTCTCTACGGTGGAAATGAACGAAAAAGTGGACGCGGATCCGTCGGTGAGGGGGGGAAAAAAACGTAAGAAATATATTATATTTATGTGTCACAGCCAAGACTTTTCTCTCCCCTGAAAGCGCCAAGTCACTATCTCCCCGAGCGCGAAATGTAAATGAAGCCGATTACGTAATGTGTTTTCTATATTTGCGACAAATAATTTTCTTGAACCTTGAACTAGTTCACGTCAGTTCGAAGTTCTCGTGTCAGAGTATGAACAATGACTGGTGATAAAATGCGCGTATTATTCATATGGGTCACGAGCGTGGGGCACAGGCGACATAAGAAGAAATGAAAAGATTACGAAAGCATCTCGATCTGACTCGCGATAGTTGCCGGAGGAGGAAGAATCGTTCGATGAAGAGAGACGCGGAGTTAGATAAAAGTAGTGACATCAGCATGTTTGTACAAAGCGTCGCCGTTCAGACAATAGTTCTCTGACTCTTTTAACGTTTATAGCTTAAAGAAGGTGGACGACTCTTAGGGCACTCCACGCACATAGTCGTCCACGAAGTTAGACAAACGGTGATCGCTCGCGTTTGCCAACTCGAAATACTCGAACATTATGCGTGGACCGTGCGCCACGAGGAGTCCTGCTTTACGAGACACTTCGCGCAAACAGTGTACATTAATTTTTCTGCGATGTTCCGCGAGCGCGCGTCCGCCGTTATAATTCTTCGCGGCAACGAGAGAGTACACGTTAGAAGCGCAGTTTGCGCGATATAATTAATCGGCGGTGTATTAATTCACATATTTATTACACACCGCGTTAAGAATGAGCACTTGATTACTGTCCGGCCCGTGATATACGGCCGGCGATTTTTCTCAGTGCGTTAATGAGTCAATGAATCTACTCGAAAGAAGGAGTCGATATATCACCCGGGATTCGCGTTCGCGTACGCTCGCGCACGAAAGTTCCTCGTCTCGATGTTATCGGCGCTTAATTATGCGCGGAAGG